CTATGGGATGGGACATTTCTAAGTGGTTGACCAATCACAACAGAACCGGCCAACTAACCAATCAGAGCAGACTGGGCTCTGGTTTCAGACAGAGGGTGAAAAGAGGTGCTGCAGCACAGGCAGTATGAGGAAAATAAAGAGCTTTTTGAACTTAAAGCATGGAGACATGTCCCAGTAGAGTAGGGGTGTCAAACTCAAATACACAGTGGGCCAAAATTAAAAAAATGGGTACTAGTCGAGGGCCGGACTGGTTCAATGTTTATTGCAAAACATATTGAAATGAACTTATTGCACATATTAAACCTGGAACTAACAAAGCTTAAATTATTGCCTATAAAAACAACATTAAACATTAAATAATCAGTTGCATTCATTTCTTATGGCTCTATCTGCAGAGTCATTTCTTATGATTACATTTTCCCACAGGCCAACAACAGCTTCAAAAAAACTATTTCCCTCAAAGAACAAACCAAACATGCCCTGTTGTCTCAAGAAAGAAAGTGCAGAAGGAAACATCCATTAAACTCAGGTTGCTGCTCTGTGATGCTAGTTCAAGCAGATACTTGGCATCTCATCTCGGGTGCAAGGTGATCAATGTTTGGGGTCAGGCTCTGAGCTGAGGAGACCCTCAGGATGGAGTGAAGGTGTGCGTGCAATATACCGGAGGGCCAGATCTAATAGTAATTAGATATTATCCTGCGGGCCGAAATTAAATCCACCACGGGCCTGATTCGGCCCCCGGGCCTTGAGTTTGACACATGTGCAGTAGAGGAACAAAATACTACCTGAAATTAGCATAATAAACCCCCCTTTATACAGGGTTATAATGTACACTTTCATATATGTTACACTCATACTGTGGCTCTTCTTGTTTCTGGCAGACAGAGGAAGACAACAAAGTAGCGGTACCAGCCCTTCTCAGAGGAGGGGATACATCTCACCCTGTCTCACCCACAGACTCCCCCCTTCAGCTCTGGGACGCCACAGTCACAACACTGGTCCAGTCCACCATCGCTCCCAAATGCAGCTCTTTAGGCGGAGATCTCTACATCCTGACGGGGGTGGGGGGTCTCGGGGCGGCTGAGGACGGAGACGAGGAGTGTCAGACGAAGCCTCTGTGGTCTGCAGTGTGCTGCGCCGTCCCGGAGGGGAAGAGGGGCTTCAGTTTGGGGTTAATCACAGAGACAGGGGAAGGGGAGAGGCAAGTGAGCGTTGATGAGCTGGAGGAGGTGCTAGGAGTGGCTGAGCTGTTCGCAGAGGGATGTGGAGGAGCAGCTGGGGAGATTGTTGACATCAAAGAGGGTCTTCACAGTGAGGGGCTCCCTGGAAACATAGAAATATTGGATGCAGATCTTACTGATGAAAACAAAGCAGACAAAGATGCAGAATCAAACCCTGCAGGTGGAGACGCTGATGGAGAGGAGGTTAGTTCAGGTTCAAAGAAAGGAGAAGAGGCTGGTTCAGAAGGTAGTGTTGAAGAGCAGAGCGATGTGACTCAATCACGATCTGTCAGATCAGAGTCTCCTGACCCCTCGGCCGACTATGTGGAAGAACAAGAAACAGACACAAACTCCAGCTCCATGTTGGTCTACGTCCTCTCCACCACCTTGTCCATCCTCAAAGCTCCGCTGCGACCGGTGTTCTCCAGAGTCACAGATTTCCCTGGACAGGTGATATAAGTTACTGAAGCCTCTTAGAAACTGTTTTATTAAAGGGACACTCCTGCATCGCTGCCATGAGGCTCATGACAATGGTCTGAAGCAAATTGTAATAAGTGATCCAATGTCCTATTCTGCTAGCCTTACACAGTAGAGTGGAGAAAGTGATCTCACACAGTCACAAACACGGCCATTTTCCAGTCATTGGATGCAGCTTAGTTGAATGTATATTGAAGCTGTTTTACAATTCTGCATCTGGTAAGAACGGCCTTACCGGCCACCTATGACCCTATTTATACACTCTGTGCAGCTAAATACTATTGCATGACAAATCGAAACAAAATAATATAACATGCCAACAATAAACAGAAATAGCTCCTACACAAATAATTCTACTCTTCCTGTAATGCAGAGGACTCAAAGGCTGTATTTGTCATATGCACAATAGCTACAGTGTGTAGAAAAAGACAAAAGAGCCAGCCTCAACCCAGTTTCTAACGCAGGCTTTCTACTACACATTTTTGAAGTGAAAGGCCAAGTCGGATTACATTTTAAAGTTACTTTTTTAGACTTTAGAGTGTTTTTGCAGAGAAACAGAAAACATTATACAACTGTTTTAACAGGCGGAGTAGGATTCCTCATTGCAAGGAAAGTGTATAAGTGCTCCTTTTAATTTGACCAATTACAGCCAACATATTTCATAATGACAAGTACTTAAGCTCATGTAGAGTAACTGATAACTTTGAAGATTACTAAAGGAAGTGAAAATAATAAAAGAAAGAAATTAAACAAGTGTTTAAAAGGCAACAAAACCACATTAAAACCGGAATGCAGCAACAGCAGGAAAATATTACAACTGATAGACTATTACAGCAAGAGCCTATTAAATAGAACGTGGAGATGTTCAGTGTGTTAGCAGGTAAACAATTCAGTTTGAACAGGTTGAGTTTCAGTGATTATTAAATCTCCTCATGCCAGTGTGCTCCTCCCAGACACTGGAATGAGGTGCGACCTGCAGCAGGTGTTTACTCCTTACAGGTCCTCAGGTTATGTGTCATTTTATTATTCACACCATTGTCTCAGATAAAATATTAAATCATTTGTCTCTTCCCAGGTGACATACGTTCTTCAGGAAGACCTCGGGGTTCTGTCTGCCCTGCCTGGAGAAACCTACTCTCTATTCCACCTCCTGACCTCGGACTTCTTGTCCTGTATGGGCTCAGCTGGAGATACAATCCTCGATATTGGAGAAAACTGCTTCTCCAGCACCTACTACGTCTCCTCCTCCATGCTGGGGGCTTTAGTGGACAGCTGCTACACGGGGGTCACCGGCGTGGGGACCCTTGCTGGAGACGCTGTGGGGATATGTGGGGAAGCGTTGGATAATACTTGGTGGGTGACCAAGTTCTTCGGGGGGCGGCTGTGGGAGCAGAGCGAGGGCTACGTGGGGACGGTGGTGTCAGAGATGGGGGGTCAGGCCAACGCTTTAGGTGGAGGGTTTGGGAGGATGGTGTGGAGAAGTGGAAGTGGGGTGTTTAATGTCTTTAGAACGGGAGGGGGTTTAGTGTTTGGAGTGGTGGATGTACTCATTGGTGGGATGAGAATGGCTTCGGGGTATGAGTCAGAGTAGAAACTCCACATGAAGCCATTAAAAACGTTTCAGTTTATTTCTCAATTTGTGAATTTCTTTAAAGAGTGTGAAAAAAGGGGGTACCGTTTCATTTTGATGTCATTTAATAATAATTAAATAATAAATATAAATTGTATTCAAGGCGCCTTTCATGACACCCAAGGACACCGTTCGATTTGTTAAATATTCTAAGAGGTAAAAGCATGAGAACAAGATAAAAACACAAACATACCATCATGGAAAAGACAATTTAAGTGGACACATGATAGGGTCAGGTTATTCAGGGGAAACAGGGAGTTGGCTGATCTGAGATCATTTGATACTGTATGCCTTAGCTGTTTTAGAAGGATAGCCATTTTTGAGTCGAATTTAGTGGTATTTACACTGTAGGTCTTACACTTCACTGTGGCTGGCTGTCCAATACATCTGCTGCTGCGACAAGCAACCCCACTGTGATTTAAAAACCACTGTGCACAAGGCTTTTGGATGTAGATATATTCAAAACTATTCCTGTATGATAGTTGTTATGGTTAATGTTTGCTTACGTGTACATTTTAATAAAAGAGAATGCTGGCTTATCGCATTGTTTTTGTCTTTGTGTGTGCTTGTGATATATGAAATATTTTACTCTGAGCTGATTAACTGACAGAAAGGTAGTTACGTTTACATTTTGCAGAAAAAGCATGATAAGTTTAACCAGAGGTGGAAATTCATGAAACTGGACTGGGACTGAACTTTCTTTTTACTATTTTTCAGGGTGAAGTTAAAGGTAGGGTATGTAAGTTTGAGAAACCGGCTCGAGATACACTTTTTGTTATATTCCATGGAATGCTCTTCCCGATAGCAATGAATATCTTAAGTGCTTTGACGAAAATCCATAAAAAAGTTTCATCTGTGGAAGCCGGCCTGGCTAAAATAACTGGATGGCCTACCTGCCTGTCAGCCTTCCATCTGTGCACAAACTTATCTCGTGCCCTCATTGGTCATGTGCGCGTTTGTGTGTCTTGGAGGAGGGGCTCTGTAAGGAAGTCTGAAGGAAGGGGCAGATTTTAGTACTTTCAAAATTCTAGCGCACTCGAGCTGGTTTCTCCATTCTTACCTACCCTACCTTTAACATAATAACTTGCAGAGGTGTATAGTAAGTATATTTACTCAAGTACTCTACTTCAGTACAATGTTGAGATACTTGTACTTTACTTGAGTATTTCAGTTTTATGCTACTCTGTTCTTCTACTCCACGACAATTTAGAGGTCAATTGTACACTTTTGCTCCACTACATTTATTTAATACCTTCAGTTACTTTACAGATTTGGATTAAAACTCAACTGACTTTAGTTCCACCTGGAGTAAATTCACAAGCTACCCTGCAGTATACAAAGTCATTAAAACTAGCTGCACCTTTACCAGCTTTGACAACACTTTAATGACCAATCATTACAAAACATATCATATATATTATTCTGAAATGGACCAATCTGCCTACTTTTGGTACTTTAAGTAGATTTTGATGCTTATACTTTTCCACTTTTACTTGAGTAACATTTTTAATGCAGAACTCTTACTAGTAGTACTACACTCTTGTACTTCTACTTTTACTCAAGTACAAGATCTGAATACTTCTCCCACCTCTGTTATTACTATTGTTAAAAAATAAATCATTTTCCGGTTTGCGGCCGAAGCGGCCGGAACCCGGAAGTGTTTGGTTGCATCAGACAGCAGAGAGAGGACTCATGTGGCTCTGCTGTGGATGCTAACTTAAGCTGACGTCTCTTTCTGTTTCATTCAAAGGTAGGATTAACTTCTTACAGACGCATTCAATAAAAAGCCCCGGGTTTATCAAACACTAATTTAAGAGCGACTTTTAAATAACCGCTACGTGAGGTAAACAAGCCTAAAACTCAGCATGCACTCACAATAACTCGAGTTTCAGTTTGTCTGAGGAGCTAAAGCTAACTAGCCTGTATTGCACGACTTTTCGTCATCCTTTGACAGTTGGCAGAGATGAGCTTTAAAGGAAGTGAAACATATTGTTAACTAGCTGATTTAACCGCACCCTGACACTTTGAAATGCTGAAATACGAGTATATTATGTGTTTTTTAGACATCTTTAACCAGTTTGTTGACACATTTTGCATCTCTGGTTGCCTTAATAGATGCCAAACTTTTTAACTGGTTTTACAGGCTAACACACCCACTCCACCATCTTCAGGCACAATGTGTTTGATTGCATTTCGGACATATTTGTTTTGCAAAAAAAAAAGAAGCACAAAGTCAAACCAGTTCATAATCAGAATAAGAATCATAATTCCTTTATTTGTCCAACAAAGGGGACACTTACATTTTTACAGCAAAGTATAGAGACGAAGAAAATAGAGAACTGTTATATGTAAAGGCATGCACATAGTAGTTTTACAGAAGTACACATTCAAGTAGAGCAGTATTTATAAAATCAAATACGTGTAGCAATGTAGATTTAAGTGTGACATATAACATTAGTAAACGTATTACTGCACATAGTTACATACAGATTCCTGTTGCAGTAATGGATGGACTAACTAGGAGTAGCAGCCAGTAGTAACAATAATATTAGCTGAATATATTGCACATAAGTAATGTACATATTGTCTGTGTTTTCACCAGAGATGGCCACTCTCTACGTGTCCCCTCAGTTCATAATCAGAATAAGAATCTTAATTCCTTTATTTTTCCCACAAAGGGGACACTTACATTGTTACAGCAAAGTATAGAGACAAACAAAAAAGAAAACTATTATATGTGAATGCATGCAAATAGTATTTAAAAAAATTACAATTTACAGAAGTACACATTCAAGTAGATAGTAAGTAGAAGCAACATTTATAAAATCAAATGCGTGTAGCACTGTAGATTTTAGTGTGGTGTATTATTGCACATAGTTACATACAGTTTCCTGTTGCAGTAATGGATGGACTAACTAGGAGTAGCAGCCAGTAGTAACAATAATATTAGCTGAATATATTGCACATAAGTAATGTACATATTGTCTGTGTTTTCACCAGAGATGGCCACTCTCTACGTGTCCCCCCACCCTGATGACTTCAGGAGCCTCCTGGCTCTCATCGCTGCAGAGTTTTGTCCGTCCTCCCGCCCCCGGACCCTCACAGAGGACCCTCCTGCGTCCCTGAATGCCTGCTCTAGACCCACCCTGGTGCTGGGCGCTGGGGGAAGTGAGTCTGTCCTCAGCGGGGCCCCTGCTGTGTCCTGGTACCTGGCCAATCAGGGGAAGAGGGCCGGTGCGGATACAAAGCAGCAGAGCCAGGTGTGGCAGTGGCTCAGCTTTGCAGACAATGAACTCACCCCAGTGTCCTGTGCTGTGGTCTTCCCTCTGATGGGGATGACGGGAGTGGATAAGAAGGTATGTTTCAAGTTTCAAGGCTTTATTGTCATTAGCACATTAGCTACAGTGTAGATACGGCAATGACAACTTAGGACACAGGCTCCTCCAAAAGTGCAACATGAATATATATAATGTCCAAAATGTTTGGAGAAGTAAATACAAATAAAATAGAAATATTGCAAGAAGAGTCAATATGGAATGATATATTAGATAATAATTAGCTAAATGCAATCAGATGAATGTTGATGGATGTTGTTTAAAAGGTTCAGGTGTTTAATAGTCTTATGAGGTGCAGCCACATCTTTTTGGTGGACATTTGTGTGTTTTATTCATGTGATCTATTCTCAAATAAGTGATTGTGTGTCTCAGCTCCAGCAGAGTTCCCGTGCAGAGATGATGCGTGTACTAAAGGTTCTCGATAAGGCACTGGAGCCCAGAACCTTCCTGGTGGGGGAGAGCATCACCCTGGCTGATATGGCTGTAGCCACAGCTGTTCTCCTGCCTTTCAAATATGTATGTATGATGTGCATCACTTATCTCAGTTTTTTTCTGTAGAACAAATGACTCTGTAGAAAGAACTCTCACCCATGTTTGCCAGCTGTTTTTTAAATTAGGGGTGCACAGATTGTGAAATGGTGGGCCTGTACTGTTTTAATTTACAATTTGGCTGATAGCAGATGCCATCGTTTTGTGGCTTTTGTTTAATTAGTTCTCATTTTATTTATCACCCTTGTTTGCCAGGGAAACAAAGACATATCTGTGATACAGTCATTCACCCCTTTATTACACTATCTTTTAATGAGCACACATTCAATCATACTAAACAATTAAAAACCACCCATAACTGTTCTAACTACTAAACATGTCCTGAAAGCTTTTCTGCCTTGATACATGTCAGCGGGTTTATCTATGAGACGCAGAGTTGAACAGCCGCTCCATCTCCGTGCTGGTACAATGTGCTAGAAAACATGAAGATTATTTCTCTAATCTGAATTCAGTTTCATTTGTGGAAAAAATATGTCTTACAAACTGAATGTGTGGTCCTTAACTGACAGTATAATACTCACAGTTCAAAGTCAACAAGGCTGCAGATACTAAAGTATATTTATCAGTTAAACATAGTATGATAATATTTTGGTCCTTAAGGTGTTGGAGCCATCAGACAGGAAAGTCTTGACCAATGTTACCAGGTGGTTCACAACCTGCACGAATCAGCCTCAGTTCCTGAAGGTGTTGGGGGCGATCACTCTCTGTGAGAAGATGGTGCCGGTTACACCCAAACCAAAAGCTGCTACGAATCCTAAAGCTGCTCCTGCCAGTCCTGCTGTTGAATCCACTGAAGCTGAAGCTAACGGTGAGGAAGTCCTCTGCCACCGTTCACAAATATTTCTTTTTTTTTCTGTGTGAACATTATTCTGATGTTGTCATGTTTCCTCCTTCAGGCCCACCAAAGACAGAGGCCCAGCTGAAGAAGGACGCTAAGAAGAGAGAAAAGCTGGAGAAGTTCCAGCAGAAGAAAGACACGGAGGAAAAGAAAAAGTCTCTGCCACAGACAGAGGTATGGATAGTTCACTTTTAGAATTTGAACTTATTGTAAGATAAGTAAAAACATAAATAAATAAATATGGTCTATATCAGTGTTTTTCAAAGTGGGGGCCACCAGGGGGCGCCAGGGGGGTCACGCAAAGTTTGAGGGAAACAGGATTTTTTTTTTTTACATTTTTTTAGATGTTATTAATAACTCCATATCTATCAATCTATGTGTCCTTTGATGCCAATCTTTTCATATTTTTTGTTTTTGAATCACACGACAGCCCTTCAAGCCAATCAGAATCGAGCTGCCGCTACTGAGAGTGAAACTGAGTATCTTCTCAGCTTTTGGAGAAAGCGAGAGCTAGTGAATGTTTCGCTCTGCGGCTGGATGAGAGCACGGATGTAGCAAATGTCGCAGAATTGCTTGCATACATCAGATTTATTTCAGAAGACAACTTTGTTGAGGAAATATTATTTTGCAAAGCACTGGAAGGTAGGACCACATGAAGAGACATTTTCCAAGTTTTAGATGAGTACATCATCTCAAACGGACTTGACTGGTCTCGTTGTGTGGGTGTGTGTTCAGATGGGGCAGTGGGGCTATGACAGGCAAAGAAAGCGGAGTGACAGCTTTGATCAGGGAGAAGGCCCCAAATGTAGTGGCAACGCACTGCATGCTCCATCGGGAGGCACTTGTACACATCATTTAAAAAAAAAATTGCAACAGGGGGGTCCCTGCCAGAGGATAATGCTATATGGGGGTCCTTGGCATGGCAAAGTTTGGGAACCCCTGGTGTAGGATCAACGACATAGCCTGGTTACTAATTTTCTGAGTTAGTCAAAGATCATTTGATCATATTTTTTGTCTTTCAGAAAAAG